ACATAAACACAAAAGCTCTGAACAACATACTAGTAAATAGAATGCAAAAAAATCATTAATAAAATGACACATCATGACCAAGTAGGCACTGATGGTTCAACAAACACAAATGAATAAATGTAATATATCACATAAACAGAAACAAGGAAAAAAAAAATCTCAATAGAGGAAGCAAAAGCTTTTAACAAAATCCAACATCTATTCACAATAAAAGCCATCAAGAAAATAGGTGTAGAAGGACTGCAATGCAATCTGAGAAAAGCCACTTATGACAAACCAACAGCCAACATCACATTACATAAGGAAAAGCTAAAAGCTTTTTCTCTACAATCAAGAACTGTAGGGAGCAGCTAAAGCTGGAAGTTGGTCACTTGTAGGGGGCAGGGCAGCAAGGCGAGGCCAGAGTGCCTAAAGCAAGCAAGCTACTGCCTGAGACAACTCCAGTCATTAGTCACTAGGCAACCCTGTGTCTCCTCATACTAACTCTGTCAAATGTATAAACGAACACCCCTAAGGTGGTTGTCCAGTTCCTTTTTCTCCCATCAGGAGAGAGGCCAGCTTTGAACCCAGCTTTGTCTCTTGTCTTGATTTCTTATCCCCTTGCTATTTTTCCCCAGGAACATTGAAAGGCACACTGGGAAGCAGCAAAGAACAAGACAAGTACATCAATTATCACCATTCCTTTTCAATACAGTACTCAAAATATTAGTCGGTGAAAGAAACCTGGCAAGTGAAAGAAATAAAAGTGACAAGTATAGGAAACAACGAAGTCAAATTATCATTATTTACAAATAACATGATCCTTTGCATAGAAGATCCAAAGCTTCCAGCAGGATACAAAACCAATACACAAAAATCAGTAAGTGTTCCTCTGTACCAATAATGAATCCACTGAAAAATAAATTAGGAAAATATCATTCATAATTACATCAATAAAAATGAAACAATTAAAAAATAACTTAACTAAGGAAGTGAAAGACCACTAGAATAAACCCTACAATACTCTGAAAAGAAGACTGAACAGAACATCAGAAAATAAGAAGATATCTCCTTTACTGGACAGGTAGAACCAACACTGTAAAAATGTCCATACATCCAAAACTGATATACAGATTTAATGTAATCTGAATCAAATATCAACAACATTTCTCACAGAACTAGAGAAAATAATCTTAAAATTCACATGGAACTAGGAAAAAGAATCCTAGGCAAAAAGAACAAAGTAAGAGGTGTTACAATCCCAGATTTTAACTTATATTACAAAGCTACAGTGGTAAAAACAGCATGGCACTGGCACAAAAGCAATGGAAGAAATGTGGATCACTGGAACAAATATGGATCAATGGAATGAATTAGAGGATGCAGAAATAACCAGGCGTTTTCAGGTGAAAATGTGCTGGAGGAAAGGTAGCCTCTTTAGGAAATGGTGCTAGAAAATCTGGTCATACAGATACAGAAGACGGAAGCTAGACCTATCTCTCTCACTACACACATAACTAAAATCAAAATGGATCAAAGACCTAAGTAGAAAACAGAAACACTTAACCTGGTGGAAGATAAGATGGGTGAATCATAGGCCTGTGCAAGGACTTTCTGAGCAGAACCTCGTTGTGTAAGAAATAACACGAAGAATCAGCAAAATGGGATTATTTCAAAGAGAAACTCTCACAGTAAAGGAAACAACAGAGTGAAGAGACAACCTACAGAATGGGAAAAAAATGGCCAGCTATACCTCAGATAGAGGAATAATATCTAGAATATATGAAGAACTTCAAGTATTAGATCCCCAAAACAAAAGACCCCAGCAACAAGTGAGTAACTGGAAGGAATGGACACTTTTCAGAAGTACAAATGGCCAAATAAAATCATAAAAAATGTTCAACATCCTGGTCATTAGAAAAATCCAATCTAAAACAACACTGAGATTCCAACTCACTCCAGAAAGTATGACTACCATCAAAAAAATCAAATAATAGCAAACGTTGGTGAAACTGTCAGTAGAAATACATTCTACCAACAATGTATTTCTACCTCCTAAGTAGGGAGATAGAAATTTTGCAAATGGGAAATGTACCAAAGGATGAAATGGAGAAAGAATGACAGGGGCATAAAAAGAATTAAGGGGTACCATGTACCAACTCCTCACAATATATATTATCATGATGTACTACAAACATGACTAATACAAAAAATTTACATAATGAATGAATTTTATTATAAGTATGTATCATCTAATATTGAGAAGTAAAGAAAAAATATGATGAAATTATATGGGGAAAACTGGTATATTATACTTCCTTGTGAACTTTGATATTACCCTTAAGAGTTCTGGTTGGTTCTAAAGAAAAACAAAGCAAAACAGAACAAAACATCTCTGACTTTGTATATGTATAGTAACCCTCACTTAAAGTACTCTGTTACGAAGCACTGACCTACCTTTTACTAGAGTGAGAAAGAATGCCTTATGGGGTTTGACTTTTCCTATTTTCACTGTTACCATTTGCCTTGATTTTTTAAAAAAATGCCATTTTCATTCTAAATAGACTACACACAACAATGGTTTCTTCCCTAACTATTGTTTTACACAAGACTAGTATGGAAATTTATTTTGGGGGGAACATGTAACCAGTACTGTAATGAAAAAGAAAACTATACAACTGAATTGAAATAAATTCACTTAAAGCCAACTATTTCAAATATGGTATTTATATTTCTTAATTTGAATTAAAACACAGTTTGTCCTAAGTAAGTATACTATCCAGCCACTGGGTGGCGATCATAGTGAATTTTTATGATGTTTTTATACTTGAAATTTCACCAGTTGGATACTCTACACTATATTTTTAAAACATGTGTTCATTTAATTTAAAGAATGTCTCCTACTATTTTGAGGCTAATTTTCTCGTATAGACAAAGTAGGTATTTTTCCAGATAGCAGAACATGATTTATAACCAGTGTTTGCTTCCTAGAAGGTTTTCTTCCTAGAAATGGAAACTAGAAACTAGTTTCAGTTCTAGTGGAATCCAAGTTCTTGGATACACATTGATCAGTGAATATAATATAGATCATATAAATCGTGTTGAAAGTTACTAAAATAAAATACAGAGAAATGGTCAGATAACTTAGTAACAATTGGAGATTGTGGATACCCGTATGTAGAAATAATTGGAGACTGTGGATACCCGTATGTAGAAACTAAGGCATTCATGAGGTGTTAAATAGATCTGATCTGCAAAAAGGAATATGCGTTAGGAAAGGCGGGAGAAGAAGCCCTGCTGCCTTCAGAAAACCCTGCAGGGACATCAGCTGCCTCCACCCTCTAGATAACAGAACTAGAGTGAGAAAACATCTTTGCCATTATCCTGTGTGTACTTGGACTTCACACGTCCCTTCAGAGCCTCGCCCCGCTCTTTCTACTTCTCCATATAGGCTTAACCATGTATTTAAAGAAACAGTACTATAGTACCTTCATTATGTTCTTAGTCATTAAAATTTTGAAAACTATACTAATTAAATCCATCTCCTAGGATGAAGATGTAATCCTTACTACGTCAAAAAACATATTTTCCTTAGTCAAAAGTGCATTTTTAACTTTGAAAGTGTTATACATGTACATACTGCTTTCTGAAAAGAATAACTTAAATTTACACTAGCAGAGTATAAGTACCTAGTCTGTCACCACCAGCAGTGTACTGAGATTTACAAAAATATTTGCCAGAAGCACAAGCTTCTTAGTCAACACTCAAAGTCAGTCCCTTCCATTTTTCTGCATTTCTTCTAAGGTTTGTCCCATGCGAGTTTCACACCTGATCTTTATGAACACATGCTTTTGAACATATGATTTTTCTCTTGGATATAATCCCCTCTCTCTTTTCTTTGACTGTGAAATATTCAGCATGACAGCAAAAGTTGATTTTCTCAGTTAGAATTTTCCTTAAGCCTCAGAGTCAGATTCCACGTTCTGTGCCCCTCTAGCTATCTATGACCGAATGGACAGAACGCTGTCAATGTTTGTACAGTTTCCTTCCTCGGTAGCTGGTACATATTGTGAAGATAGGAATATGCTGCAATTGTCGGACTGTAAGCTACAGACTCTGCCAAGAATGTGTATTCCCACTTCAGCAGTTCACCGTAGTGATAAATGTCTGGAAGATAAGGGCCATCGCTTGGAGCACCTCTTGCAAAACTGTAGAGGGCAAGGGCAATTGTGTTAATCTCATGTTTCAATACATTTAGTATTAAAATATTTATTCAAGATTTTCTTGTCCTTTTTTTGGTGAACTCTATATTTGGCATCCCTTTTCATGGAGACCACTATGAAGCAGACCTGAGCAGGACTTAAATTAATCAACTGAAAAAAAAATCAATTGACTTTTCATGTTCACTTGTGAATCTGTCCAAGGCCTAGGCTCCTTATCTAGAAATGGCAGACTCATAGTAAGTGAACCTCTGTGAATCACTAATCCCTACTAGAATCTGTAGTGGTGGATGAAGCTAAAAAGCCTCAAAGGACAAGACATGATCACAGCCAAGGACACCTGGGTCAGATCACAACTAGATGAAGACTAAACGCTCAGGCATCTCATTCTTCAGTGGATTCACTCCATACCTTACTTATCCTTTACAGAAGTTCTTGAGTGGTTCTGCCCTTCTTGAGTACTCCCCTCCCTTCTGATAACCAAATAAATATGGGCAATCCAGAGAAGGTCTTGGTCTTAGCCCTGAGAGAATCTTGAATTCTGTGAGAGGGCTTTGATCCTCCTGGAGCCCTGAAATCATTCCATTTGCCTCTTTTATTTAGCCTTTGCCATACATTCGTTCAGGAGATTGTGGACCTGATCAGGCTGCAATAACTAAGGGATATTATTAACCCCATACCTTCCACGTTCAATATCTGTTTACAGAGTCAATCCATGAATTGGTGTACTTAGAAATCAATTTTAACTATTCCTGCAGCTTTCTGGAGTGAGGAAAGAACCTTTCTGTGTATGTATCCTACCTGGAACAACATGCAAATTGTAGTCAGGAGGGGCCTCAGGTCTTGTATCTGCTGTTTTGGTTTGATTTTCCATTTCATCTGCAGGCTGCTCAGACGCTGTGGGTATTACGGCTTGAGAGAAAAAAAAATATTCATGAGTCACATAGAAGATGATAATAGGATTGTACAGAGTGTTGATTTTTTCTTGTATATGTTCATGAATGAACATATTCAATATAAAATACACACATTTCTTATGAAAACCCATTAATTCATTATATATTACATATCAATTTACTAGGAAATTTCATCAATTTTAAGTCAAACCTAGATGAGAATAAAAGTGAAGAATTACATTGTGCTTGCTAATAGAGCAGTGAACTTTTATACCAGTAGGTCAGCTGACCTGATTTTGACTTCTATCTACATGGTAAATTAGCTCCTGTGACAGTGAAAATTCTTTCTCCTATCATTTAGAGAAAACAGGCAATTACAAGGTGAACTTGTTTTTTCCTGATCCTTTCTGAAAGGTGTTGTATAAATAAAGTCAAAACGTAACACCATACTCAGTAGTTTAAAACTGGTAACGGTGTCACATACGTCTTAGACACACTGTTCAGTCTGTATCTGCAGCGACTTCCATGCTTACTATATTCTTCCCAAAGCAGCACTGTCACAGAAATTGTTCTACGGCACAGCTGAAGTCGTTTATTGCGACATTACACCTTGTCCTACGGATGCGATTAGACAAATTCCTCCCTGAACTTCTGTAAGAAAAAGTTCCGAACCTAACAGCTGGCTGACTTTTATCTCAGAGATAATGTAAATCCCACAACTCTACCATTTCTCATTTCATACAGCTTACTATAAAACGCAGCTCTTTATTTCCACTGCCTCTCTCTGCAGACCTGCTTCCCTATCTTTAATTTTCCTTTTCCTCATTTCCCTCACATACTTTAAAGACTGCTCAGGAGGTATGTGCCAATAGATGTTTTTAATCATTTTGACAAATATAAACAGAAATAGTCACATACATAAATGAATATATGCACATATAAATGTACATACAAATGCTAAATAAAAACCTTCAAAATAAAAAAATTACCTTTTTAAGGAAAAAAACAACACAATTCATATTTGAAAATGAAACACTTTCATAAATGAAACATTTTATAAAACACAAAAATATACCTGGCATGTTGAAGGATTCCAATTATCCTGAAAAAGAAAATATTTTAATTCCTTAAGATATGTGTGTGTGTGTGTGTATATATATATATAGTATTATGATTTACTAATACATACGGCAAGTTCCGTATTTTCTTTAGGTACCAGTCCTGGCTTCATTAACTCTATAAATACTTACTGAACACTCATTATGTACAGTACCGAGTGGGATTCCAGACATAAATAATACAGAGGGAAAAAAAAGACAAACAAACATAGAAACAAAAATTACCAGATACTCTGTTGCCCACTCTGCTGGCTTTTATATTTCCGCAGGTGGGACTACAAGCCATGTTAACAGCGGGTTAAATTTAAATTTAGATGGTACAGTTAAGGAGAAATTATGTAAAAGTTTTAAGGAAAACACAGATGGGAATTTCCAGGAAGGTCAAGGGCAGTCTCTCTTAGGAGGGGGCCTTTCAGCTCTCTGAACTATGGAAAGAAAACATCACACAAAAGCTGTGGACAGAGAGTTCAAGGAGAACAGAAAAGTGCAAAAGGCCAGGGATGGCAATGAGCAGTGATATTTTTTTTTGGTGGGGGTGTTTTCTGGTACCGGGAATCAAACTCACGACCTTGCACTTGCTAGGCAGGTGCTGTGCCACTGAGCTAAATCCCCAGCCCTGAGCGGTGATATTCAAAGGAGGGAAAGAAACTGTGCTAATTGGGCCACAGAGAATGAACAGAACCAAGGTAAAGGTGAAGACACAGGTCTGGTGACAAGAAAAGCCATGGCAAAGTGTTTGGAATTCACTGTCCTTGCAAACGGAAGGTCTTTGGAGGATTCTCATCAGAGTGGTAATCAGGGCTGACTAGGGCTGTACCCTCAGCCTGTACCTACCGCCATCAGAGAAGGGATGGCGGCAGTAATCCAGCGAGATCTGATGCTGGCTTAGACTGGAGATCTTTTATGGTGTATTTTTAATTAAAAAAAAAATTATTACAAGCCAGGCACGGCGGTTCACACCTCTAATCCCAGCACTCGGGAGGCTGAGGCAGGAGGATCATTGTGAATTTGAGACCAGCCTGGGCTACAAAGTGAGCTCAAGGCCAGCCTGAACTGCATAATGAGACCCTGTCTCAAAAAGACAAAAAAAAAAAAAAAAAAAAAAAGAATGATGGGGTAAGTGTCTTCAAAGAAAGGGGGCAGTATTTTGAGGATTATTAATGCGAATGTGTCTTTTGGGTAATAAATTTTAAAAATTCAAACACTCACTGTATTTTTTAATCAGACCTCTTGTATGGTATGATTCCATTCAACAATGTTCAGTTGGAAATCTTAAACAACACCAACTGATACATATCTGGAGGACAACTTTAAGAAAATGCTAAGTAGTTAATGAAAACTATCAGGAAAATGGTTCGATGTAAGGGAGAACTGATATTAGGGCCAGGCCTGAGCAGTACTCTCAAAAGGATCTAAATCCATCCCAGTGTTGTGGTTCTCACAGTAATGGAAACAGTGGTGATACTAGTACTAGTTTTTAAAGGATACATTTGTGTTTAAATATGCATTTATGTATGTGACACCATTTCAAACTAAACAAGATCATTTGGCAGTTATGTGTTGACTCTGACCTAATTAAAGGTCTGCTGTTCCTTTTTGTAAGTTTGAGGATTGCAAATCATCAAGGATCCAAAAAGCAAACTAATTAGAATAATTTTGAAGTACCTCACTGAAAAACTGGCCAATTATCCATTTGTTTATTCATCTATCCATCCATCCACACATCCATCCATGTATTTATCATCTTTTTAGCTATCAGTCTTGGCAAACTGTGTAGCATAGTACAAAAACAGCAAATAATAACTGCTGAATCTAAGATACATATTTGAAACAGTACTACTTTTAAAATGTGTTTCCTTTTCAAAACACTATAAAACATGAGGGAAAAATACACCAATCAGAAGCCCAGACCTGAAGTAGTCCCTCTGGGGAACAGGCCTCAACATCTTGACTTTTGTCAAAATCCCAAGTGATTCTTATAATCAATCAGGCACACTTAAGATCATATCATAGAAAGGAAAATAACAGTTCTTAACTATGGAGGGTAGAAATTAAGAATTAAATTCAGATTAAAGAGATTGAATGGCAAGTTTTTAAAAAAACTAGTAATACTTTAGAAATCTATACAGTTTAACAGCAACTGATATCAATGAATTGAAGTAGAAGACAATATATGCACACAACACTTCACAAATTGCAGGTGCTCTGTTGCCTACTATCTCTCAGCAGCCTATGTTCTGCTCCTTTCCTTGTACACTTCTATATTATTATTTTATCCAAATTTTATGTAAAACAGGATAATTTCCATTTGGTACAAATATAATGTTAACTTAATTGCACCTTAATATTCACTGAACCGTTTCAGAGTTCCCTATCATTTAGCAACAGTGCCTTATGTTGAAGAGACTAATGTTTGGCTTTGTATCAGATGGAAACCACTTTAGACGCTCAAGCTATGATTCCCTAACAGGTTAGTATTACAAAGTGCAGAGAGCTCTTATTTGCAGAGGCCTTGGTATTTGGAGGACATGTTTCATACAGGGGACTCTAAGCTGTCTGGAATAAAACAGAGAGCACAGATAGTGTAGCTGGGGTGTAACTTGGCTTTGCTGCCTTGCGAGGCAGTGCTCATACTAAATGACATCCTACTGTAAGATAGTGTGCATGGATATCACTTTTCCAATACTGTTCTGCTACACCCTTGTTCTTCAATTTCACTCTTGTGACCAATGATACATTTCTGAAGCCCAGTAAAACCAAAAAGTCTAGAATTCATGCTGCATGTATTTGAAACTTCAGTCAGAAAACCCAGAATGTTAGCTCACTGCAGTTGACTATTAACTGAAATCTGTCCAAACTTTTGAGCAGGGGAACCTTTGGGCTGGTGAAAATCACTAGGCCTTAAGCTTGGAAGCCTGCCTATGCATTCTAAAACCCCGGATCTAGCTTGTCTCTGAAGCTTTCATCCCCGAGGGGAGAAAAAGGACAGTAGGAGGTCCTGTACGGATCATTCATTCTGCTTTGTAGCAGATACAGAATAACAGGCTGGCTCCCCCAAAGTCCTATGCCGGGTACCACAGTATTCCCTCTTTGTCAATGGATATAATATGTACTTGTTATGACATGATATCCTTTGTCCTTCCTAAGCACATCTTGAGGTAGACATTACGTCCTCTATAATAAAGCTTTAAAATAAATCCTTAATCATAAGTAGAGTACTATTGTGAGTTCTGTTAGCCACACTGGCAAATGTTCACATCTGAGGAGATGATGGGTACCTTGAATTTACAACCATTTGGCAGAAAGAAGTTTGCGTGGCATGGAATCACCCAAACCTGTGGCCAGCATTAGAAGTAAGGACAATCTTGTCTTGAATTATGCCCATAAATCTGGAGAGTCTGTGTTAACTCTGGGAATGGGATTGCAGTACTGTACTTAGATTACCAAAATCATTGCTATACTGTTACCACACACATTCTCACACACTCACACACTTCTGATTACAGTAGCAGAACTACAGGGGGGAAAACAGCAGAAAAGTACCATCAAGGTAAAATTCATTTTGCATTTTTCCCTGTTATTCCTGGTCCAATATTGTTTCAGTGAAGCCTGAATTATAGCACATACATGAAACCAGGTAAAGAGATAGCTGCAGAAGACTTTATGTTCTGGCTTGAACAAGATCCATATGCAAATGAAAATGACCAATATTAATTTAACTTTCACAAGTCTCTCTTTTATAAATCCCAGTAAATTTCCTCTGTATTAGGTCCCACCAAAAGGTCAAAGTATACTGTAATATTTTTTAAATGATACATTATCACTCTTATAGAATACAAATAGCTGCAATAACTGTATTGCTGATGTCTGATGGTGTATTGAAATGAACAGTTAATGCT